GTAAAAGGAAACCTGGGATAATTTCCCCTTCTAATATGGCTCTGAAACCCTGCCTATATGAGAGAAAGCCCACTATTTTTTTAGAATGCAATGCTTTCATATCCTGAAGCAGTGAATGTCAGGTAGCAAACCATCTTGCTTGATGGAATTGGTTTATTGTTTGGTATTTCCTTGTGATATGATTAGGGAATGTTTTGTCCAAACCAGCTGGTTTTACAGCAAATTCTCTTCCCTATAATTTCAGCATCACTAATTGTTCTGGTGTTCCATCAAACATCAAGGTTTAAAGGCTCAATGCAAGTCATAATTCTAGATTTGGAAAGACAGATAGACACAAAGAGCTGAATGGTATGTCTCCCTTGTCTACCTGGTGCTCTTTATAGGGTTGTCTACTTGGTGCTGTCCAACTACTGTTGAACTTCAGTTGCCATCATCCTCATTCAGTATGGTTAGGGATGATGGGAGTTGTAGTCCAACATCTGACATCAAGTTGGCTATCCTATGGCTACTTCCACTCACAAACTAGAGCATTATACCCTCACAAAAATAATCAATCTACTCAGTATGTACATTAATAGGAGTAGTAGATGGAGCTCATTCCCCACTTCTACTGATGGTTTCTTTCTAGATTGCACAGAAGAGCCAGCATTAATCTCCCTTCTGTGTAGTGTCCAGCAACCATTGCTAGGAGGATCCTTATATGAGAAACAATATGAAGAACTGTTTGTTCACACAGATTTTGGACAACTGATGAGTTTCTGAAGAAAGTGTTTTTTGCGACTGGGTACCACATGTCCTCATTTTTTTAATTGTGTATTTTAAATTGTGCTTTTATCTTCAAGTGAATTTAATGACATAATCTGCCTGGCAAGGTGTTTTGGTTATATTATTTATATCTGTATCTCTATCAAGGTTATATTTTTGATTATGTGTGTGTGTGTGTGTGTGCTGTCAATGATTGTTGTTACGTGCCTTCAAGTATTTTCTTACTTAGATTCTTGTCAAGATTCTTCAGAGGGGGTTTGCCATTGCCATCCCATGAGGCTGAGAGACTGACTTGCCCAAGGTCACCAAGTGGATTTCCATCAGCTTAGCAGCAAACTCTGTTTTCCAGAGTCAAAACCCAATGCTCAAACCACTACATCATGGTGGTTCTCAGTTGCAATGATAGTATGTCTTTATGTTGGTTATGTTCAGCAACATGTTATGTACTTGTATAAATTGCAGTGACTGCATGGGGCAAATAAAATTTGATTTAATTTTATCTGATTGTCTTTTAAATTTTATTTTGTATTTTAATATATGAAGATGGTTTATATTTTAAATGTGTTCTTACTGAACATTACTGGGAGCTGCTCCCATTTTTGGGAGAAGGGCAGGATAAATTTTCAATAAACAAATAACTCCGTTGATATTATTCATTGACAGGCTGCTTCTCTGCCTACAGCCTGGAGCAATTACTTTCCTGGGAGCTACTATGGTACTTTCAAAATCCCCCACCCATCATGGATCACCATCAATTCAAAGGACCCAGTGTTACCTGCAGGAAAGGAAACACAAAACCGACAGTGAAGTTTGAGAGCCAGTTGAGGGACCCTCCAACAATGTAGGCTGGTGGCCGGTGAGATTGCTTGAAGAGTTCAGCTGTCATCAAAAATGGGACCCCAGCTGTAGGAGAAAGACCATGCTCAGAGCCAGAAAGGCCAGTCTGGGCTTTTATCTTTAGTTTTTGTCCATGGAGGACAGACCTTTGGTATGCAAACAACCTTGAGAGTACCTCTAGGGATGGTTCAGATGCTCTTGAAAAGAAGCATTTTAAAATATCCGGATACCCAAAGAGGAAAAGGTTAGAAAAAAGATGTGGACCAAATGAAGGCATCTGTATATCACTGTCCACAGTGGGATAAAGTGGAATGGTACCTGTACAATCAGAGAGGAGCATTTCAGTATTGCCCTCAAACATTTAAAGGAAAAAACCCCAAACACTTTTAAAGTATAAATGTGGTAAACGTTGCCCAGTCTCCCCTACATTTCACCTTTCCACTGCCATTTTGTCAATTAATCCAATGTTATCCTGTACATTTTAAAAAAGTTTTATACAGGACTAATATTTACATCATAGGTGGTGAAAGAGTGGGCCCCAGCGCCAGCTAAGACCAAGAAAGAGTTTTCCTTCCAGACTTTTCCAAATGTCCCCTGGGGGAATGGGAGCTATTTTGTTTTGTTTTTTACCCACTGGGCCATTTTGGTCACAGAGGAGTCTGTATTTCCAAAGGAAATTACACAGAATTTGACCTCCATGCCACATTCTGTTTCAATAAGACCTCTTCTGAATCCAGAGCCCAGAGAAAGCCAAAAATATGGAGAAATTGTGAGTCAAAAATATATTATTTTAATGGGACCAGGAACCCACAAGGCTGGAGGCCAGCATGGTCCCCTAACCCTCAGAAGTTCCCAGCCCAATCTATGTGTTCCCAGACCATTGAAGCTGATAGAGTCAATATGATTATGTCACAGAAGAAATCAGATTTGGCTACATGGTGATGTGAGGCAGAACAAATGAAGTTGAATCATACTAACCCAGCAATAGAGACCCCAGAATATACAAGGAATATGTACTGATGCACACAACCCATTAAGATACATTGAATCTGGACTTGACCACCACCAGACAAGAGCCACACTTGAAAGTGCATCTGAGTACATTCCAGAATGCACATCCACATGCATGTATCAACACTGTTGTTGTTGTGTGTCTGGCAACTCTAAGGTGAGCCTATTTTCTTGGCAAGATTTGTTCAGAGGAGGTTTGCCATTGCCTTCCCCTGGGGCTGGGACCATGCGACGTGTTTGCTGAAGGTCACCCACTGGGTTTCACGGCCAAGCCTGGAATCAAACTCTGGCCTCGAGTCATAGTCCAAAACTCTGCAACTATGGAAACCAGGGTTTGATTCCTGCTCAGCCATGAAACCTCTGGGTGACCTTGGGCAGGTCTCATCCTCAGAGGAAAGCAATGGCAAACCTCCTCTGAACAAATCTTGCCAAGAAAATGCAACTATAGATTCAGTTTAGGGTTGCTGTAAGTTGGAACTGACTTGAAGGCACACAACACACAAACACAAACCTGCATAGGAACCAAGACCTGTGCCTTTGTCAGAGGGACATTTCAGTTCTGATGTCCCATAATGCACCAAAATTATGGACCCCTTTCTCCCATTGCAAGTAACACATCCTTCTTTCAGGAGTGTGTAGAATGGCTTCCTTAAAATGACTTTTAAAAAACTTTTAAAAATCTATCCAAGGAGTGTTAAAGAGCACCCCCTCTCCGCCCCCGGCTGAGTATTGCTCACAGATCACCCAGAGTGGGAAGAGATATTTTTATTTTAAAAGTCAGATTCATCATTGTTTGTGAACAATGAGCCATTAAAATCCTAATTAAAGATGTAATTACAGTGAATAAATTCTGGGCCGACAATGAGTTATGGATCTGTTGGCGGCTGTGCTAATACATCAATTGGGTAAACCAGCAGCCGCCTCGTCCATCATATTTAGAGGGCTCTGCTTTAGCCTCTTTGTTAGCAGCAGGCAAGGATTTGCCTCTGCAACCCAAATTAAGACAGCAAAGGACTTCAAAACTCTGAGAAGCTATTCAAGTCTCACCACTTTTAGGTTATGATAGCTGTCCAGAGATTAAATTTTCTGCCACTGTGCTTCTGGCCATCATCTATTCCACTGTGTTTAGAGGAAAGGCGGGGAAAAGGTTGAAACTATGGTGCTCTTCAGATGCTCTTGGGCAGCCATTTCCAGCAGCCATAGTCAGCACAGCCAATAGTGAAGAATACTAAGAGCTGCAGTCCAACAATATCTGGAAGGCTACGTGGTTCCCAGCCCTGGTTCTGAGTACTGGACTGGAGGAGGACTTGGCAGAGCCAAGCTGAAGTCCTCAAAGAGCCATGAATTCTCCAGGTGACCATGAGCCAGTCACTGTGGCTACTGCCACACTGCAGAATTAATGCAGCTTGACACCACTTTAATTGCCATGGCTCCATCCTGTAGAATCCTGAGCTTTGTAGTTTGTTGTGGTACCAGAGCTCTGACAGAGAAGGCTAAATATTTCACAAAACTGCATAACATGGAGCCATGGGAGTTAAAGATGTGCCAATCTGCATTAATTCTGCAATATGGAAGCAGCCTGTTTCTCTCAGCCTATTGTACCTCACAGGGTTAATGTGAGGATAAAGTGGGGGGAGAGAGGAGCCATGCACCCTGCCTTTTGCTTGTTGGAGGAAAGGTGGAGCATGAATGCAACTAAGGTAATACACAAATACATAAATGCTCAGAATGCCAACTACTTCCATAACAAAACAAAGACATTTGAGACAATTTGCAAAAAGAGAGCTAATTTGCTGTTCTCATGAGCCCAGATTAATCTGTGCTATATCAAGTAGCTCACTTCTTATCACCCCTCATTCACCCCAGCCCTTTTCTTGGGGTCCTCAGTTACACCTAGGCCAGTGGCTTTCAATCCAGCCTTCTGTGGTTAAATAATTTCCCCCATCTCTTTGAACTACAACTCCCAGAACCTCTCAGTCTTCCAAGTTCTGGACTTCTGTTGGTGCCCACAGCTTTGTCAGCCTGGTATTACTTGGATTCCCCCTACTGGGGCAGGAACTCACCTGGACCTATGCAGAATCCCGCAATGATTCCAATGACACATGCCACACTAACGTAACGCATCCAGGAGACAATAGCCTGTAAGGAGACAGGAAGTTTTTGAGAGCTTTAATAGCCAAGTGCATATGGGCATCTGTCTCTCATTCAGGATTCCCAGATGCCATCACTTTATTGTTGTTGCGTGCCTTCAAGTTGCTTCTGCCTCATGACTATCCTAAGTGAACCTATCATGGGGTTTTCTTGGAAAGATTTCAGAGGAGGTTTGCCATTGTCTTCCACTGAGGCTGAGAGAGTTTGACTTGCTCAAGGTTACCCAGTGGGTTTCATGGCAGAGTTTGGAATTGAACTCTGGTCTCCAGAGTCATAGTCCAATACTCAAACCACTACGCCACTATCCCAGGTCTGCTGTACCATGACTCTAGACTGCAGTTTGCTAGTTACTGCAGTCCTGTTGTCCTTATTTAGTTAGGCTTCCGGATCCCAGCCAGTGTTGATGCATAGCATTCTTTGCTCTTCCAGTTCTCTCTTCTTCCTGCATTCTAGCAGCAGATACCTTTTGTTTCATCTTCACAAATTTGAACAATCTTTCAGAGAAGGTATGATTCTTTTTTATCTCCTAAACTGAGAATGAATCTGACCTCCCAACTTGCCTCTATTTATGCACTAGATTGCTCTGTGCACTGCAATTACATCAGCTTTGCATCAATTTGGCCTGTCATGCTAGGCTGTGAATAAGCTACAGTTGTGTTTATATTTCAGTTTTTAGATGGGAAGAGGATGAGAGAAATGGCAAATTTTGAAGTGAAGGAAACTGATAATGACAGTCCCCATGGGTACGCCTCAAGAAGAGGCCAAAGCCACAGTATTCTAGAAATTTTCATTTCTACAAGAGTTGGTCTTTTGTAAAGCTAATGGCTTGGTTTTCCTTTCCAAACCAAACCACAATAAAACACTGGACACAGGGATAACTTACAGTATATTGCTGCTGAGGAAACCCATCCCTATGCTCTGCCACTTGTGAGGAATGCAGCGAAGTCAGAGGGTAAAAGGAAGCCTGAATTGGATGACTGACAACAATTATAGACCTTGGACATCCCAAAATCTCAGCATTTTGACTCTGTGAGCTTTGGTTCTACTATACCACTGGGTGATAGTGTTATAGGTACTTACCATCAAATGGTATAGATAACAGGAATAAATTGCTGTGGATCCACCACTGCCTTCTCTAATACCACTCCCTAAGCCCACACCCAATATCAAGTATTCAGGACTGGGGACACTGCAGAAATATTGCTATCCCTCCAAGATCCATAGACCTTGCTGTGCCTACCTGCAACAACAGGGACAGGGTGATGCCAGCACAGCAGATGCCCATGAAGCAGAAGCCGGCTATGATGAGTGGACGACGGCCCAGCTTCTCAATGGTGAAACACTACAAAAGAAAAGAGGCTGAGGCAAGTTGTTCTGTTGGCTGTGTTCATGTGTATGTATGTACATACATACAAGTGTCTAAACTCTCTCACACACAAAGGACAATGCTTACTGGGCAGAAACAACAGTATTGCACAAAGCAAGGATGGGGAACATGTGGCTACATGTTCTCTATCCCTGTTTTGTGCAATACTGTTGTTTCTTGCTTGCTTTTGTGGACTCCATGGCCTTCAACACCAAGTTTGCTTTTGCTACCACCATCGCAATAATTGAAACTACATCATTGAGTAGGTAGGGATCACATTCCCAGAAGTGGGATTCTCATTGCAACAAGGCATGTTTCTTCTTTTAGGAATCTCAGAGTGTCACCAAATTTCTATGCCATTGAGGGGCATTAGCTAAAGGAGAAGATACTTGAAGTCAGGACAACCTCATCCCATCACCAGTACAATAGCGCTGGAATATCAGCCTTTAGAAATTCTGGATATGGTCTTTGCAGCCAGGAAGACAGTTAACAGCCAGTGAGGGAATAATGGGTACATCTCCACTCTTAAATTATATATTCCTCAATTGAATGGGTTAGATGCTAGTAATGCATGTTCAATGTTTTATTCCTAGCATTCAGAAGGGGCTTTGATCTAATTCTAATATATTAGAGACAGGTGGCACTTAGAAGCAGAAGAGTCAAGAATATTTGATGAAAGCTGATGAAAAGGGGGCTCAGACCTCAGCATTTGCAGGTTGATCCCTGGAATGCAGTCTGGCATATAAGATGGGGCACAGGGGACAAGGCTTTGGCCATGTTGTTGGTGGTGAAAGAGAGGGGAACATCCAGGGATCCAGGAGCCTGTGGTTGCCAAGATGGGGTGGGGAGGGGTGGGGAAGAAGCTGCCAGAAGGAAACCGAAGTAGGAAGGCTGCTGACAGCAGAACAAATGCCTGTAATTTTATAACCAACCTCACTGCATCCATTGGGGGCCGTTTTTGTCGGCACTCAGGAGCAATCAGGCTGATGGAGCGATGAGCTTGCCAGAGTTAGGCATTGCTGATGGGCAGCAAAGGCGGGTAGTGGGCGGGAGAGCTATGCATTTGTGTAATAGGGAGAGGCACAGGTCAGACACGGACAGCCCCCAGGTGATATATGACTGGATAGTTGTCCCAGGTATGCTGAAATTTGGAATCAAAGGGCCTATGACAGTCAGAGAAACCACACCTGCTACAGGAAGGTAGCTACAAGATGTATTAGGTAGAAGATTTTTCTGGACTTTATACCTCTGGTCTAACAAAAGAGAGCAACCCACAGTAAAACTCTATATTGGATAGGTTCAACAAACTTGCTGCAGATGAAGCTAAATTTGATTGTTTTTGTTTCTCCAGAAGCCTTTGGTCTTCCTGTTTGTGGCCTGCACAAATTTATGGGCTGTTAACAAAAATCATGAAGTTTTTTTTTAATTATCCCCCATGGCAAATCAGAGTGCTACATGCACCTGTTTGGTTTCCTTACTAAATTATTTTTGCCTTCCAGTGTTACTGATAAGCCACTCTCCACATATAGGGAGATGCCAGCCTTCTTTTATTTCAGTGATAAGAGAATGGACCTAACTCCAGAGATGTAGAGGAGAGCAGTCAGTAAGTAATTCTGCATTATGACCATGGAGTTTGCAATAAAATGCTGAGATTTATTGTGATTCCAGCAGTCCCCAAAGACATGATATAAAGATCCAGCTCTATAGCATCTGTTTCCTTGAACACAGAGAATTGCTCAAAGAGCACAGTCTTGCCTATGTCTTCCTAGAAGTCAGTCACAGTGTGTTCAGTAGGGCTGATTTCCAGGAAATATACAGGATTATAGCCTAGAACCTGATTTACATATGACCCACCAGAGAAAGGCTTGGAAAAGGGTAGTTAAGATCGCATTGGTTTTTATGGTCTTCAGTATCATTTTAGTTACATAGTTATTAAAAACACTATTTAAAATTGTTTTGGTTCCTTTCCAAACTATACATTGCCTTGGCAACTCTAGGAGATGGAGGGGCAATGAAGAAACAAATAAAAACAACTAGTTTTCCAGGTTTTGGGAAAACACAGGACCAAACTCCACATTGCCCATTCTCCTATTTGATGCCCCTTGTCAGTAGCGTCATTGAGGGGGTGTGGGGTGTGTGGCCCACACTAGGTGACACCCTAGAAGGGGGGTGACACCAGGTTGGCTCCCTGCCTCCTGCGGATGCTGCTCCTAGGCCCCACGGCAGGGCTTTCTGGGCATCCTAGGCCCCACAGCAGGGATTTTCGGGCATCCTAGGTCCCGCGATGGAGCTTTCCCAGCCTCCAAGGCTCCGCTGGTGGGGCTTTTTGAGGCTTCTCAACCGGGGGGGGGCTTTTTTGCATTCCAAGGCCCTGTGAGGGGGCTTTTGTGGGCGCCCCAGAAACCCCACTGGAAGTCTGGGTCTGGAAGTCCCCCCAGAAGCCCTCCCTCCACCGGGTGTCACCTGGTGTGGGAATGCCTGTGCTCCCTGTTTTCCCTCCTCACTCCCTTCCATCTTCCTCTTGTGGAAAATGAGATGAGCTGGAAGCTCTTCCAAGCCATCATTTTCATTCTGCTTCTGCTCTTTGCTGCTCAGGAGAGGACTGCTGCCCCCACCAGTCTGCAGGAGCATACCCTCCAATATTTTGCAAAGGAAAACTGAGACACATGTGGCCTGGCAACTTCAGTGCAGATGAAGATGGCAAAAGTTATTAAGGAGGAAGAACACACAAGTTAGGCTGCAGCATTTTGCTTTTGCCTGAGCTGACTGAGAAGGGCAAGATTCGGCCTCAATCCCTTCCTTTCTCCCCTGCTGAGTAGAGTACAAACTATTTTTTACACTCTGAACACAGTCTGCAGCAATGGAAGTATGATGTAGAGTAGACTAAGGGAGATAACTGGGAGGAGGAAAGGGAAATTAGGATATTATATAAACAGCTGGAAAAGTGAAGCAACAGAGGATTAGTCAGGATTGTTCTGGCCAAATCAGGAAAATTGGAGGGATAGGGGCATTCCAGGAGTAACAATCACAATACGAAAACGTATTGCTAGTTAACAGAACCATATCTGGTTATGTATGCAGTAAATATATGTATTATAATATTTGCAGTAAATCCACTCTTTGACTGAGGCCAGACTTACTAGAATGTCATAGACTGGGTATAGATAGTCCACCCCAAATCTCGACAGGTAAGAATTGTTGGCTTGTGGTTGAACAGGGACAGAATTCCAAAAACAATAAAACCTACATCTTTGAAGTGTCCAGGAAATCTACATTCTTATATCTGAGAATTCCAGGCCTCTAAAAACAACAAAAGTGACCCATTTTCTTAAGAACATGCCAAGACAAGATAAAAGAGAGTTGAAAGTGAGTGTCCAAAAGGGGGTCTCCGCTAAAACCTGACAAGAATAATAAGCAACTCATAGGCCAGAGGTAGGAATAGTATGAATCTCCAAATGATGTTGGCCTGTAATTCCCATCTACCCTAGCCAGCACGGTCAACCTTAAGGAATAATGGGAACTATAGTAAAAATGTGTTCCCCATGCTCATCATATGTGCTTAACTGTGAAAAGTTCAACAAAGCCCATCTATGCAAATACATTTTTATTATACAAATGCTTGGGGGTTATGCACATTGTTCTAGTCTTTTTTTTTAGGGGGGGGGGAAACCAAGGACCATTTTGTGCAGAAGTTCTTTTCCAACTCAAAATTGTAAATGACATGCACTTATGGTGCCTGAAGCCTCATGAATGTATGTGTAGCTTTATGAGTGTGTGCTGTTCTTTGATGCTAACATCTCATTTTCAAGGAAAACTCCCAATTGCTGTGAACTGTGTTATTGGAACACCATCCCAAACAGCATTTTGTTGGAGTATCTTCTCTCTTTGGGTCAGTTCTCTCCATTGTTGCTTGAAACATTTTTATGTAGTTTTTGTGCTCCC